CACCAGTAGCATTGGAACACATTAACAAAGTAAGCTTGTCTTTCATAGGCTTATTCCTGGGAGTGCCTTTCCTCCTGGAAATTGTAGGTCCTGGGGCATTTTCTTCCAAAAAAGGGCCCCTGTTTCATCACAATTAAACACTTGTTCAGGTTTCAGTCCTTCATGCTATGCTCCAAATTCCCCGACTATTTTTCAGTGCTTTGTGGTCCAACGGCAGCTCCCATCCCTTATCCATATGTATGCCACCCCTTTTAAATCTCTCAAACCAAACCTTTGCGGGCCCTTAAATTCACTAAATATCACTATTCAGGCATTTTTTTTAATTAAATCCTCATGCAATTTTCCTACCCTTTTGCTTATGATCGCTTGAGAGACTTATCTCCTGCAGCTGTTTTTCATTTATCCACCCCAAAAAGAGTCTTCAACATCTTCCATCACTTCGACTCTGTTTCGAAAACCATTTAAAACCTTTTGGCAAAACAGCCCCTTTTGATTGCCTTTCTTTGCCCACAATGTAGGATGGTTGATTTGGGTTTTTGAAAAACCCTGGCCGGGTCGGCGACAGCACCCCCTTAACTTTCAATGATCCTTTCTTCATCTTATGAAATTTTACCTTTTTATTGCTTTGGTTGGCACTAAAAAGTTTCTTGGGCCTGGTCCTTTTTTGGAAGAAAAAATCCCAAAAACCTGTAATAATACGAAATTTTCCCAAATGTATGCTTGGTGTTACCGGGGAGGTGGCTGGAAAACAATCCCCACGGCGGCAATTTTGAGGCTGGAAAGGGTTTTGCACATTGGCGGTCTGGGAAACGAAAGGGGGAGCGGGTTTTTGAGGGGTTGCAAAAAATTTTTTTGCGAAAAAAGCGAGCGGTATGTGGTTTGTACGTTATGTATGACGACGGTAGCGGGGGTCCACTGATTTTTAAAGTATCTTCTCGCGGGTTTCGGGGATTAGGATCGAGGCCCTTAAACCTTTTCCAGTAGTTTAGGTGCCTTTTGCACTTATTTGTCCGTGAAATTTCTTTGTACACTCTCCAGGTCTGCAATTCGCCAACTTTCAAGGGGGGCCTTATGACACTGTTTCCAGCCAAACACAGCATTGAAAGAATATCTGGGGGTTGGGTCCCTAGTTTTGAAGGTTTCTCATTATCCATCCAGTCTTTTTCCTAGTGGATAAAGGTGTACATGTTGTGGTCTTTGAAGGCGAGACCTAAAAAATTTACACCCCTGGGTCTTAATTTATGTTCCGTTTTTTTTTTTTCAATTTTTTTTCTGAGTGTTGAAATTTCTCCTCGTTGAACTTTATTTTTTTTGAGGGGCCCCATTCGAAGATTGGTTGTGTCCGTTGGGGTCTTGTGGGTCTTGATGGGGGTTTTCCCCATAGTGATCCGGATTTTCATCCACAAAGGAAGCACAGGTTGTGGTTTAATCTTTTTTTAATCAGAAATGAGAGGAATAGAATGGGGTGAGTATTGTCCCGTGGAAAACAGCTTTTTACGGGCTGCCGGATTTATTTGGGTAGGTGGAATCCATCTATAATTTTTTCCGTTTTCCTTTTTCAGAAAATTTTGTGTGCTATTACATGTGGTCACACTTTCGAAAGTTTTTGCAAAGTCAGTGTACTACTCGTTTTTTGTTTATCCCTCTACAGCTTCCAGGCCCTTGTTTAGTGGTCCAGTAGCTGGGCAGGCGGAGCGCCCTGCTCTAAACCCGTGTTGCCCGGGTTTGTGTAATTGAGGGGTTTTCAGGGGTTTGGCTATCTTGCTTTTTAAACCCTCTAAAAGATTTTTATGTAGGGGGATGTTAGTGTATCTTCTGTAGTTCTTTGAAATTTGTTTTACTCCACCTTTGTGAATGGGGTATTCTGTTTTTTTTTGTGTGTGTGGGTTGCCCCCCGTGTCATGCTCCCCTCCAAAAATTGCGAGGCACGCGAAAGGGGTTTTTGGGAATTCTTGATGAACAGGATTTCCACGATCGGGCCCCTGGGGCAGGTGCATGGGCATGTCTTTAAATTGCCTTTTTCAAAGTCTTGTGGAGTTAGAATAATTCGAGATTTTTAGGAATACCAAATTTTGGTTTCTTTAAAGAATTCTTTTGGTTGTCGCCCCCCTTAGAGGGGGCAGTGGCTCGTAAACCTGATGTATTGGGACTTTATTTCCACCATTTCTTGGCTATATCTTGTATGCCCCATCTCCAAAAGTGGGGCTCAATACCGGATGTTTTTTTTTTAGAAAAAAGGGGGATTTAGAGCTATTGGTCTATAGTTTTTTAGCTATTGCTTTGCTGGCCTCCATGGGGTGGGTCAGTAAGTTGCTTTTAGTGATGTGGGATTTCCCCGTATCTTGTCCCCCTCCATGATAAATTAGGGCACGCAAAAGGGGTTTTTTTTTGCAGTTCTTAAATTTTTTTTTTTTTGGACATGATACTGTTGTTGAAGGGAAATTTTGTGGGTTGGGTGTCATCCCAAAAGCCCCCTTTATGCGAGCATTATGGGCGGCTTAAAATTAATTAAGATAAACTAAGCAAAGATGTATTCAGGGTAAAAAAATTTTCAGAAAAAAAAATTTTTAAATGAAGTACAAAAATGGGGGTTTTCAAATAAGAAAATTTAGTTGTACAAATTTGTAGCTAACAATGTATAATTAAAAAAAAGACCAACAACTATTGAAAAAAAGAAACGGAGTTCCACGAATCTGGTTTGAGGCTAGTGCAGGGCAAGTGGTGAGTTTTTTTTAACCCAAATTTTTCATATCTATTTTCGTGCCTCTCGGTTGATTTACCTTTTTCATCTTTTGAAAAATTATAATAAATTCTGGTAAGGAGGGAGCTGTAAGAGAAAGGGGGGCTAAAATTAAATTTTGTGTGAGAGAGGGGGGAGCAAAAGGTTTGGGGTTGTGGGGTAGGTGATCGAAATTTTTAAAGGTTTAGTTTTTTGAAAAAAAAAAGTCAAGAGAGAAAAGAGAAAACCTTTAAAAACCTTCGGGAAATAAGGGTGCTGACTGCCAAAACCATGATGTTCTTTCAATGATTTGGCCCTAGGTGGAAAAATGGACACAATGGCTCCCTTTTAAGGAGGCAAAATTAAAAAACCGGAAAAAAAATACAGAGAACCTTACGCATGTTTAAGTACCATAAAGCACCTGAATTACTGAGAATGGTTGAAATCTGCTCAACTGCCTCCCAATATACGTAAGGGGGATTACCAATAGACCCCTGGCTGTTTTCAAGCAGGCACTAGACAGGCACCTAAAGTCAGTACCTGACCAGCCGGGCTGTGGTTCATACATCGGGTTGTGTGCGGCCAACAGTAACAGCCTTGTTGATCAGGCCCTGATCCACCATGAGGCCTGGTCACAGACTGGGCCGTGGGGGCGTTGACCCCTGGAACCCTCTCCAGGTATACTCCAGTCCCTTGATCTGTACATCTTGGAATGCAGGCAAGAAAGATACATGATAATATGCACTTGGAAATCTTAGAGGGACTAGTCTCAAATCTGCACACGGATATTACTTCCTACAAAAGCAAAAGACTCGGCAGCTGGTGCAACATCCCCTCAGTGAAAAGCAGGGGCGCCATGAGTGCGCTACGAGACAACAAATAAGTGTCAGGGGCCCAAGACTGCTCAGCTGCCTCTCAGCATATATAAGGGGATAACCAATAGACCTCCTAGCTATCTTCAAGTGGAAGCTAGATAGACACCTACGGTCCATACCTGACCAGCCGGGCTGTGGTTTGTTCGTCAGTTTGTGTACGGCCATCAGTAACAGCCTGGTTGATCAGGCCTTGATCCACCATTGGCCTGATTATGGACCAGGCCGCAGAAGTGTTAACCCTCGGAATTCCTTCCAGGTATCAACGTCAGTAAGTGTTCGTTGGGGAAGCATCGATGGAATTGATTTCTGTATCTCCAGTAATAGGACATCTGTTAAAATATGGTGTACTGATAGTCCTACAGAGAGGGACCAGACATTTTTTCATATTGTATTATGGATATAATCAATGTAATCATAGAATTGATGAGGGAAAAAGAGTGAGTGGTGCACTTAGGAGTCTGTGGAGACAAAGAACTTTGTCCTTGGAGGCAAAGAGGGGAATGTATGAGAGTATAGTTTACCAACGCTCTTATATGGGTGTGAAGCGTGGGTGATGAATGTTGCAGCGAGGAGAAGGCTGGAGGCAGTGGAGATGTCATGTCTGAGGGCAATGTGTGGTGTGAATATAATGCAGAGAATTCGTAGTTGGAAGTTAGGAGGAGGTCGGGATTACCAAAACTGTTGTCCAGAGGCTGAGGAAGGGTTGTTTGAGGTGGTTCAGACATGTAGAGAGAATGGAGCGAAACAGAATTGACTTCAAGAGTGTATCAGTCTGTAGTGGAAGGAAGGCGGGTAGGGGTCGGCCTAGAAAGGTTGGAGGAGGGGGTAAAGGAGGTTTTGTGAGTGGCGAGGGGCTGGACTTCCAGGAGGCATGCATGAGCGTGTTTGATAGGAGTGAATGGAGACAAATGGTTTTTAATACTTGCGTGCTGTTGGAGTGTGAGCAAAGTAACATTTATGAAGGGATTCAGGGAAACCGGCAGGCCGGACTTGAGTCCTGGAGATGGGAAGTACAGTGCCTGCACTCTGAAGGAGGGGTGTTGGTGTTGCAGTTTAAAAACTGTAGTGTAAAGCCCCTTCTGGCAAGACAGTGATGGAGTGAATGATGGTGAAAGTTTTTCTTTTTCGGGCCACCCTGCCTTGGTGGGAATCGGCCAGTGTGATAATAAAAAAAAAAAAAAAATAAGTAGGATAATAATGTTCTTAACCAATAGTATTCCTACTGAAGAGTAAATACTAATATATACCAAAGGAATTGAAGCTACCTTCCCTTTCATGGATCATATCTGATTACTTCAAGTTCATCATCAGGTGCTGTATGGTCCCTACAAGTTTAGTGCTTCCCCATGAATATAATCTATTAAAAAAAGGAAATAAACCCATATGCATTATATATTTCTATGTAATAATACAGTAATAATGGTGTTCACTTAATGTTAAACTTTGGGTTATCATATGGTGCATGAGAGGTAATCAGGTTTGATCTGAGGAAAGGAAGAGTTGCTCCATATTCTTGTATCAAGAGTCCTTTACCAGCACCATGACAAGAGGAAAGTGCCTCTACCCCCAACAAGTGTAAGATCAATCACTGATGGATGTGTGAGCCAGTAGGCCGCTGTCAGCAACAGTGTGTGGGCCAGCTGGCCACTGTCAGCAACAGTGTGTGAGCCAGCAGGCTGCTGTCAGCAAGTGTGTGGGCCAGCAGGCCACTGTCAGCAACAGTGTGTGGGCCAGCAGGCCACTGTCAGCAACAGTGTGTGGGCCAGCAGGCCGCTGTCAGCAACAGTGTGTGGGCCAGCAGGCTGCTGTCAGCAACAGTGTGTGGGCCAGCAGGCCGCTGTCAGCAACAGTGTGTGGGCCAGCAGGCCGCTGTCAGCAACAGTGTGTGGGCCAGCAGGTCGCTGTCAGCAACAGTGTGTGGGCCAGCAGGCCGCTGTCAGCAACAGTGTGTGGGCCAACAGGCTGCTGTCAGCAACAGTGTGTGGGCCAGCAGGCCGCTGTCAGCAACAGTGGGTTAAACAGGTAATCAACAGAGGATCCTGGCCTCAGGCTGGATTGCGAGGATGGGTAAAAACTTTAAACTGGTCAGTGGTATATGTTAGCTTACTTGAAGGGCACGTTATGTCAACTCCTAGTTTTACCACCTTGACGGAACTCCTTCATTTTTGTCCCTCAAAATCCTTCGGAAACCTTCAGAATACAGTGGACCCCCAGTATTTGATGGCATCGGTATTCAATAAATCCGGTATTCGATGCATTATATCGCAAAAAAATTTCCTCAGTATTCGATTGAAAACCTGGTATTCGATACAATTCATACAAGACCTGTCCACGTGTGGCCTGAACTGCCCCGTGTGTGCCAGTGTTTACAAGCCAGCCAGCGTGCGCGCATCTAAGGATACATTCGGTACATTCCATATTATCCATATTATCACTGTATTTGGTGCTTGTTTCTGCAAAATAAGTCACCATGGGCCCCAAGAAAGCTTCTAGTGCCAACCCTGTGGTAAAAAGGGTGAGAATTAGTATGGAAATTAAGAAAGATTTTGAAGGGTTTGGGGCTAACTCTGAGAAGCCTATGCCAATTGTGGAATCCATTGTGCCTACTTCAAAAATTAAGGAAATGTGTGCACAGTGGTTGAAGTGCAAACCTTTATGGATGAAAATCACCCTAACACAGCTATTGCAAGCCGTGCTGGTGACTATTACAATGAAAATGTTGTGGCCCATTTTAGACAAACCGTAAAGGAACGGGAGGTACAGAGCTCTATGGACAGATTTGTTGTGCGTCAGAGGTCCAGTGACTCTCAAGCTGGTCCTAGAGGCATTAACCCTTAAATGGTCCAAACGTATATATACGTTTTTTCAACATCTGAAAGTATGTAAAAAAATGTAGATCTTCTCTTTTGTTTTACATTTGAAAACGTGTAAAAAAACTTTTATCTACATTTTTTTTGTTATATTTGAAAATATGTAAAAAAAAGTAGATCTACTTTTGGAGCACTACGAATTTGAACGTCGATCTCTTTGGACCGTTTAAGGGTTTATTTATTTAGTAATTTAAGCATACAAACAGAGGTACAAAAAATACAGGTAAGAGCAGCATGCCAAAGCCACTTATATGCATAGCATTACGGGCTGGCTTAAAATTAACTTAAGATTAACTAAGCAATGATGAAATCAGTGATAAAACATTATTGTAAACAGATAACTATAAAGCACAAATGAGTATTACAAAGACAGGTCATATGGTTGCTTGCATTGCTGTACATTCAGTCGAATGGAGCATTCTGTTAGGTAGTGTATTTAAAAAAATAATAAAGTTAGATTGGGTCCTAGGTTTAACATTTGTGTGATATAATTGTGAGTAACATATAGGATATACAATTTATAAGGTTCAGTTATTCAGTATTTATTTGGTTTTGAGTGAGTAAGTGATCTTTGAGAAGAGACTTGAATTTATAAATCAGGTAGTGTTTCTTTTATATTTACAGGTAATGAATTCCAGATTTTAGGGCCTTTTATGTGCATTGAGTTTTTGCATAGCGTGAGATGGACACGAGGAACATCAAAGAGTGATCTGTGCCTTGTGTTATGGTCATGTGTTTTGTTGAGGTTGGCAAGGAGATGTTTGAGGGGAGGGTTAATATCAGAGTTAAGTGTTCTATGTATGTAATAGGTGCAATAATAAGTATGGATGTTTTGTATGGTGAGTAGGTTGAGTGTTTGAATATTGGTGGAGTGTGTTGCCTGTAGTGAGAATTTGTTATCATTCTAACTGCAGCCTTTTGTTGGGTAATTAGTGGTCTGAGAGATGTTAATTGTTGTTGAGCCCCATGCACAAATTCTATAGGTGAGATAGGGGTAAATAAGAGAGTGATAAAGGGCCAGGAGGGCTGACTGTGGAACATAGTACCGTATCTTCGATAGTATGCCTACAGTCTTGGAGATTTTCTTAGAAATTTGTTGCATATGTGTATGAAATTTGAGTCTATTATCGAGGTGGATTCCTAGGAATTTTCCCTCTGTTAGCTTTGTGATAGGTGATCCGTTTATTGTTATGTTAAGAGGTACATCTGTAGCTCTGTTACCAAACTGAATGAAGTAGGTTTTGTCAATGTTTAGTGTAAGTTTGCTAGTCCTCATCCAGGTAGATATTTTCTGTAATTCGGTGTTTACAGTATTGGCTAGCGTGACTGGGCTCGGGTGAGAGAAGACGTATGTAGTGTCATCTGCAAAAAGTGTGGGTTTGAGTAATTGCGAAGCATTTGGTAGGTCATTTATGTATAGGAGAAAGAGAAGAGGGCCAAGGACACTTCCCTGTGGGACACCAACTGTAATTGGTTTGTGCGGAAGAGCTTGCCCCATTTGCGTACACATATTGGCTTCTGTTGCTGAGGTAAGACTTGAGGTAGTTGAGGGAGTGCCCTCTAATACCATAGTGTGACAATTTTTACGTGGAGCAAGTCATGGTCAACTGTATCAAAAGCTTTACGTAAGTCAATGAAGATCCCCAGTGGGACTTCTTTTTTCTCTATTGCAGTGTATATATGTTCTAGCATGTGTATAATAGCATCATTAGTATTTTTATTAGGCCTGAATCCAAATTGGCAGGGGTTGAGAATGTTTTGGGAGATGAGGTAGGAGTAGATTCGTTTATGAATTAATTTTTCGAAGATTTTTGAGAGAGGGTGTAAATTGGATATTGGCCTATAGTTATTCAACTCTGTTTGGTCTCCTCCTTTATGGATCGGGGTGACCCTTGCTATTTTGAGAACTGTAGGGAACGTGGAGGATTCAATGGATTTGTTAAAGAGTGTTGCAATGATTGGTGATAGTACTTGTGACGCTTTTTTGTATTCACCTTTAATTTTCTTCTTTTGCACACCCTACCAAATTAAACAAATTCATCCACCAATCTCTGCAACTTCTCAAAGATTCTGAAGAGAAGTTGCAGAGATTGGTGGATGAATTTGGTAGGGTGTGCAAAAGAAGAAAATTAAAGGTGAATACAGGAAAGAGTAAGGTTATGAGGATAACAAAAAGATTAGGTGATGAAAGATTGGATATCAGATTGGAGGGAGGGAGTATGGAGGAGGTGAACGTATTCAGATATTTGGGAGTGGACGTGTCAGCGGATGGGTCTATGAAAGATGAGGTGAATCATAGAATTGATGAGGGAAAAAGAGTGAGTGGTGCACTTAGGAGTCTGTGGAGACAAAGAACTTTGTCCTTGGAGGGAAAGAGGGGAATGTATGAGAGTATAGTTTTACCAACGCTCTTATATGGGTGTGAAGCGTGGGTGATGAATGTTGCAGCGAGGAGAAGGCTGGAGGCAGTGGAGATGTCATGTCTGAGGGCAATGTGTGGTGTGAATATAATGCAGAGAATTCGTAGTTTGGAAGTTAGGAGGAGGTGCGGGATTACCAAAACTGTTGTCCAGAGGGCTGAGGAAGGGTTGTTGAGGTGGTTCGGACATGTAGAGAGAATGGAGCGAAACAGAATGACTTCAAGAGTGTATCAGTCTGTAGTGGAAGGAAGGCGGGGTAGGGGTCGGCCTAGGAAAGGTTGGAGGGAGGGGGTAAAGGAGGTTTTGTGTGCGAGGGGCTTGGACTTCCAGTAGGCATACGTGAGCGTGTTTGATAGGAGTGAATGGAGACAAATGGTTTTTAATACTTGACGTGCTGTTGGAGTGTGAGCAAAGTAACATTTATGAAGGGATTCAGGGAAACCGGCAGGCCAGACTTGAGTCCTGGAGATGGGAAGTACAGTGCCTGCACTCTGAAGGAGGGGTGTTAATGTTGCAGTTTAAAAACTGTTAGGTAAGACACATATGCAACAGTTAGGTATCTTTATTATGAAACGTTTCGCCTACACAGTAGGCTTCTTCAGTCAAGTACAGAAAAGTTGATAGAAGCAGAAGATACTTGAAGACGATGTAATCAGTCCATCACCCTTAAAGTTTTGAGGTGGTCAGTCCCTCAGTCTGGAGAAGAGCATTGTTCCATAGTATGAAACAATATTGTTTCATACTATGGAACAATGCTCTTCTCCAGACTGAGGGACTGACCACCTCAAAACTTTAAGGGTGATGGACTGATTACATCGTCTTCAAGTATCTTATGCTTCTATCAACTTTTCTGTACTTGACTGAAGAAGCCTACTGTGTAGGCGAAACGTTTCATAATAAAGATACCTAACTGTTGCATATGTGTCTTACCTAACAACCTGTCGGTATTTTATACCATTTTAATGTTCAGTTTAAAAACTGTAGTGTAAAGCACCCTTCTGGCAAGACAGTGATGGAGTGAATGATGGTGAAAGTTTTTCTTTTTCGGGCCACCCTGCCTTGGTGGGAATCGGCCAGTGTGATAATAAATAAAAAATAAATAATAAAAGGGTGGTAAGGGAAGTAACCCCGGAAAAGGACTTGCTACCTTAAGTCCTAATGGAAGGGGATTCCCCTTCTAAACACTAACACCTCTCCCCTCCTCCCATCCCATCATTCATAACCAGATCTTCATTAAAGGTAAGTGTCAATTATTTTATTGTTATTGTAATTATTCTATTGCATTAAACTTAACCCTTAAACGATCCAAACAGATTGACGTTCAAATTCGTAGTGCTAAAAAAGTAGATCTACATTTTTTTACATACTTAAAGATGTTGAAAAAACGTATATATAATTTGGACCATTTAAGGGCTAATATTTCATGTAGTAAAATTATTTTTTTTCATACTTTTGGGTGTCTTGCATGGATTAATTTGATTTCCATTATTTCTTATGAGGAAAATTGATTCGGTTTTCGATATTATCGGTATTCGATGAGCTCTCAGGAACGGATTAATATCGAATACCGGGGGTCCACTGTATTAGATTCGCTTACCTTGTTGATTACTACACCCAACAGCAAAATAAGCTTTATATTATTATTATTTCTATGCCTTTAATAGTTAATGTTAAGCATTAAACCCGAAGGGGTAGAGAGACTTAAAAAGATGATGGGTATGGGTATGTGGCTGTCAATGCTGTTTCACGTTCAATATGGAAAACAAATAACTTGTGATGTCACGTGCAAAATTTCAATATCTTAAACCTGTATGCATCACACGTCAGTTTAGGAATCGGAGTTAATCTGGTGTGAAACATTTTCCTGGATCAAGAACACTGCACCAGAATGAAGGTCACTTGATTAAGAGCTAATATTTAAAAAAGAAATGGGTATATAAATGTATATAGCATTCACATTCAATTAATTTAGCACATTTTTATTGTTGTCTTCTTTATTTTCAGTTACCAAAGAAAACAAGATTAATTCATCAGATGCTTGAGTTCTGCAGGAAAGGATGGATTGATGTTAATACCTGCTGACAGCCACCTTGCTCTTCCTATAAAATTGTTTCTCTGTCGGTGACCATCTCTGAATCTCACTCTAGGTAGAGATTAACACCTGTGTTGACGGATACTAGTAGTACCTTCCCTATCCCCCCCCCCAAAAAAAAATAATGCTTTCCTGCAGGTGACTATCCTTCTGATTTTCACCCTTGCTAGAGAGTAACACCCATCTTGACAGATACTAATAGCACATCCCTCTACACTGATTCCGTGCTGGTGACTATCCCTCTGAACCTCACCCTTGCTAGAGATTAACACCCTTTTTGATGGAGACTAACAGATAAAACCTCACCTATACCCCTCCCCCCACCCCCCCAAAAAAATGCTTCATTACAGATGACTATCCCTCTGAATTTCACCCCTACTAGAGATTAACACCCATCTTAACGTATATTAATAGTACCTCCCTCCCTCATCCTGCTGGTGAATAATATCCTCTGCCCCCCCCCCCCCGTAGCTCGTCCACTAGCAGATGGGTACAACAACTGGAGCCACACAGGTGAGTGTCAGATCTGTGGAACTCACTGAATAATACAGCAAACCCTCCATGTAACGGACTTTAGAAATACAGAACAAAATCCGCTGGGTCAAATGATTTGGAAACAGTGGACCAAATTTGTAGGTTACAGAATGTTCCATTATTGTTACAGTCACAGCTGAACAATCTCTTCTCAGTCTACCACAATTGTCATTACTGGTTACCTGCTTCACCCAGTAAGTCCATTAAATGGAGGGTTTCTTTACATGTTTCTACTTCTATGTTTTTCACTGTCATTCTGCACATGATAGTGCAGACTTTTAATTAAGTTGCTCTTAATTAGGTATCCCTCAAGGGATACTTTTAAGTGGTTGCCTCAATTTATAACTCAGAGTTTTCATTTATAACTTGATAATGCTGAAAATTTGACAATACAGTTTAACCTCTAATTACGAAACTCGTAAGTAGAGGTTTTGCTGGATTTGCTCATTTGTAGAGTCAATTTTCCTCATTTAAATTAGTTGAAATGGAATTAATTTGTTTCAGTGGAATTCCAGGCATGAGAAAATACTTTAATAGTTTCCCTAATATCAACTCTATAGCTTATTTATCTATCACAATTCATGTAATATGACAGTAAACCATATTAATAACACAAACATGATATATACACTAGAATGAATAAAATACATGTCATTAGGTATGTGGCTAGTGGTGGTGACAGCAGCCATTGTTGTTGGGGTTTATAGGGCCATCACAGTGGCCATTCCTGCTCCTGACTACATGTGTAGAGAACCTAGGATAACCCAAAAAAGTCAGAGTGACTTATAAGTGCTACACTCTTAATGCTTCACTTAATTGCTACACTCTTAATGCTACACTTAATTGCTACATTCTTAATACTACACTTTGCCACAGCTACCTCATGTCTGCCACTTCTGCTTTATGTTGTCTGCCATTGCTGCCTCATGTTGTCTGCAACTGCTGCTTCATGTTGTCTGTCACTGCTGCTTCATGTTGTCTGCTACTGTTGCTTCATGTTGTCTGCCACTGCTACCTCATGATGTCTGCCACTGCTGCTTCATGTTGTCTGCCACTGCTACCTCATGATATCTGCCACTGCTGCTTCATGTCTGCCACTGCTACCTCATGATGTCTGCCACTGTTGCTTCATGATGTCTGCCACTGCTGCTTCATGTTGTCTGCCACTGCTACCTCATGATGTCGCCAAAGAATCGAACATTTCTGCTATTTTGAGCTCAATTTCAAGGTACTTTTCATCGTGAAACCAATTAAAATCATATTTATTTTTGTAGTATATCTTCCATTCTATCACATGAGACCAAATAAAACGAGAATACAACCACAAAAACCATACAAAAATATACCGCTAAGGGGAGGCTAATGGCTGAGAAGTGAACTCCGTTATTTAGTGTCCGGTTTCTTTCATTTTTGGTGTACGTTAAGAAGCATCTTTTCATCATACATTGCCTGAGTTTCAATAAGATAGTCCAACAAACAACTGAGATCCAGTTCCCTAGATCAAGAGCAAGATCCCCCTCACCAGTGTCAACCTCCCTTGAGGCCCGCTGGCATCTGGAAATTTTGATCGCGTCTGGAAGCAAAAAATCGACTGAGAAGCTGCTCGTATCTGGAAAACTTGTATGTGGATGCACTTGTAAGTAGAGATTCCACTGTACAGTGGACCCCCGACTTACGATATTAATCCGTTCCTGAGAGCACATCGTAAGACGAAATTATCGTAAGTCGAATTAATTTTCCCCATAAGAAATAATGGAAATCAAATTAATCTGTTCCAGACACCCCAAGGTATGAAAAAAAAATATTTTTACCACATGAAATATACATTTTCCTACACACAAACAGAAGGATACATGCACAATACATGGTGTAATGAAGAATAAATGACACTTACCTTTATTGCAGATGTGGTGATGAGTGATGGGTTGGGAGGAGGGGAGATGATGGTGTATATATTTTTTGGAAGGGGAATCCCCTTCCATAAGGACTTTAAGTAGCAAGTCCTTTTCCGGGGTTACTTCCCTTCTTCTTTTAATACCACTGGGAACAACTTGAGAGTCACTGGACCTCTGTTGCACCAAAAATCTGTCCAGAGAGCTCTGTACCTCGCATTCCTTTAAGATTTCCCTGAAGTGGTTCACAACATTGTCACTGTAAAAGTCACCAGCATGGCTTACAATAGCTGTGTCAGGGTGATTTTCTTCAATAAAGATTTGCAGTTCAACCCACTTTGCACACATTTCCTTAACCCTTTCAGGGTCTACAGGCTCTCTCAGAGACTTGTTCTCAGGGTCGGCCAAATTTAAAAAAAAAAAAAATTATTTTTTCTTATGAAAAGATAGAGAATCTTTTCCTGATCATAATGACACCAGAAATATGAAATTTGATGGAAAACTTACGGAATTATGCTCTCGCGAAGTTAGCGGTCTCGATGATGTTTACGCATTGGCGATTTTGCCCACTTTGAGCCCTATTTTCAGCCAACTCCAGTGTACTTGTCAACAAAAATCATAACTGTTTCGCTAGAACTCCATTTTTTCTATCGAATGAGTGCAAGAAACCACCCATTTACGGTTTCAACTATCCAATACAGTGGTCAGAATTTATCAATTTTGCCAATTTCGCACAAATTTCAAAAGATGCCAATTTCCGAATAGGGTCCAGAATAAACAAGAAAGACATTCCTGGCACTAAAATAACATTTTCTCTGTTCATTAGTCATGTCCCCATGCCCCTCTCACATTCTTTTGCTTTCCACTTTGAATTTTTATTCTCACAAAAAAATAGAAGATTTACTGTTATGCAGACTACTGCATTGGTGTAGAAATGGTATCAGTAATGGTTTGTATAAATAATATCAGCGCACTTGTGAAAGAATATTAGACTCACCAGTTGACGTGTATTGGACGCATAGCATGATTTGTTTACTTTTGAACTTTGGTAAAAATTGAACATTTCTGCTACTTTGAGCTCAATTTCAAGGTAGTTTTGTTTATAAAATCAGTCAAAATCATCTCAATTTCTTGGGTGGCCTGGTGGCTAAAGCTGCCGCTTCACACATGGAGGGCCCGGGTTCGATTCCCAGTGGGTGGAAACATTACGACACGTTTCCTTACACCTGTTGTCCTGTTCACCTAGCAGCAAATAGGTACCTGGGTGTTAGTCGAATGGTGTGGGTTGCATCCTGGGGACAAGATTAAGGACCCCAATGAAATAAGTTAGACAGTCCTCGATGACACACTGACTTTCTTGGGTTATCCTGGGTGGCTAACCCTCCGGGGTTAAAAATCCAAACGAAATCTTATCTTAATATGTCTTCCATTCTATAAAACAAGACCAGGAAAACTAGAATACAACAATAAATACCATACAAAAATACAGTGCAAAGTCGCTGTTTTAATCCAAAAACACTGTAAAAAAAAAAATTTCTCATTACGCACTGTGTGCTGCAGGATTTTTTTTATACCACGCACACTGACCACATAGACCCATTCTTTCATATGTAGACCTACCAGCTTTCACTAGATTTGAGGGCGCTAGAATTTAGGCGTACTAGTAGGTCAAAAACCCTGGTGCGTAAGCCGTACTAGTATGGCCGAAACCCTGAAAGGGTTAATCTTTGAAGAAGGCAACTTCCTCAATTTCTCTCTCCCCTTCTTTGAAGCAATTTCCTCAATTGTGGCCTCTTGCTGTTGCAGATGCTCTTGCAGCTCATCAGTGGTTAGTTCTTCATCATTGTTCTCCACCAACTCTTCTATATCCTCCCCACTAACCTCCAACCCCATGGACTTCCCCAATGCCACAATAGATTCCACAGCTGGCATAGGCTCCTGAGGGTTAGCCCCAAACCCTGCAAAATCCCTCTCTTCTACACATTGTGGCCACAATTTCCTCCAAGGTCCTGTTAGTCACTCCCTCCCAAGCCTTACCTATAAGGTTTACACAATTGAGGATACTAAAGTGATCTTTCCAGAACTCTCTTAGAGTCAGTCGAGTGTCTGAGGTCGCTTCAAAGCACTTTTGAAACATTGCTTTGGTGTACAGTTTTTTGAAATTTAAGATAACCTGCTGGTCCATGCGCTGGAAGAGAGGGTGGTATTAGGAGGCAAGAATTTCACTTTAATGAAGCTCATCTCCCCCAAAATTCACTGCCAAGTCTGAAAGATGACCAGGAGCGTTGTCTAATGCCAGGAGGCACTTAACCCTTTCAGGGTCCGTCCTCGAAGAATCCTACGGCTGAACGTTCATGGTCCAAGCCGTAGAACACGTCATGAGCTCAGCTCACATCTGATAAACTGTGAGTGGAGGTACATATGGATGGCCAGATTATAGAGAATACATCTATGTGGTATTGTGCACTCACATAAAACCTCCTTGCAAGCACACTGTTTATAATGCACAGAAAAAAAAACGAATCAAGAATTTTTCGATTAAAACAGCGACTTGCAGTGTTTATCGTATGTTTTTTTTAAAGATGTATTTGCGATTTTCTTGTCTCATTAGATAGAATGGAAGACAAATTACAGAAATGAGAGATTTTGATTGGATTATATCTAGCACTGGAAATGGCTTTGAAACTGAGCACAAAAGTTAGCAAAATGTAAATTTTTGGACGATATTCAAGATAAAACAAACGACCTCACACACAAATACACGCCAGCTTGGTGGTCCTAATTATACATTCACAAATATGGTGATGATAATTTATACAAATTATTACAGTATTTGCATTAACAGTAAATCTGTCTTATTTTTGCTGTGAATCAAAAAATCATTTTATGTGAATAAAAAATCAAATGTAATTAATTGAAAAAGCCTCAAAATTAACTAATGAACAAAGGAAATGTTAGTGTAGATCCAGGAATACCTACATTGTTTATTCTGGAACCCTGTTTTGAAATTGGAATATTCTGACTTTGTGTTAAATTGGCCAAATTAACAATTTCCGATCACTTTAAATCGTAGATGATTATTATTAT